TAGTGAAGCACTAAATATTTCATAATGCTATGAGTATACCTTTATTCATTTAAAAAATGGCCCACCAGCGGTCGAGCGGTAAAATCGCTGAACACTGGTAGTTCCGACCTGAGTTCGATCTCAGGCAAACGGGTTGGCTTCATAAGCGTTTCGTGGTTTTTTTCCCGTACCAGCTTACAAGCCAGCTTACCACGTACCATACGAGCCAGCTTTCCTAAGAAAGTGCTCTACGAAGGCATTTTTCCTTTTAGGCACATAGCCCCAGTGTGTTTTGTCATAATCAACTAAACCAAATCATTTAAGAAATATATCAGTTGATCACTGCTCAGTGTACATCTGCTGTTTGCTTATAAAAACACTTTGTAAAGACGTTTCCACTATTTTGCTAATAATTCTGGAAGGCTCATAGAGTCCGAAATTATGTTACACTAACATCCGAAATTATGTTACACTAGCTAACAGAGAACTTAAGACTTACGTCTGCTTAATGCAACGAAAATCTGCCTAACTTGCTTTCCGTGTCTTTGGGAAACGTAAGTATATGCAGAAATAAATATTAAAATCTATCACGTATATTTGTAAGGATGTAAAGCATACTGTTTTGGTTCACGATAATGATAAATATGCATCATGTTACGACAGTTTTAAAAGATCACAAATAACTATACATATTCTAGACTTCTAACAAAATTTCTGTTACAATATGAATATGCATTTATTATCATATGAGTCGTAAAACGGCCCACCAGCGGCCGAGCGGTAAAGTCGCTGAACACTGCTAGTTTAGTCCGAGGTTCGAATTCCGCGAACGGTCCGGCTACATGGGTGTTTTCGTGGTTTTCCCCATGTGTAACGTGTATACGAGCCAGTTTCCCTTAGAAAGTCCTGCACGAAGGCATCCTTCCTTAGGCAGATAGCCATAGTGTGCCTTGCCATAATTAAATACACCCATACACACATGAGTCGTAAAATTCAGTATTCGTCATTTTTAGATTCTAGGTATATGACAATTTTTTTTTTAAATTTTCGTTTTGTTTTTAAAAATTAATTCACTTTATAGCTTTTCTTCAATTTATTATAAAGGAATAGGAGTTTAAATTTTGATTTATATATATATGATATAAATTCATCATTCATTAATAATATTTTATGTATAACAAAAAAATTATCATTAATGTTCCAAATTAAAATTTTTTTAATGATTTGTCTTACATTTGTTGTATATTTGTTGAATGCATAGCTAAATATTTCAATTATACACAATAAAGGTTATGCAGAAAACAATTCAGCTGGCATGATAGCTAATTGCGAAAGAAAAATTAGAGTCTTATTGCTCTTAACTCTTAGTACAAGCAGCCATTTTTAAATTGACGTTAAAATAAATTTATTCTACGGTCTATTAGAAAATAATTATACTGAATTATTTATTGACGACTTCTAAGAGGTCGCTTTCTGAAAGAAACCTGTATTTTTGAGAACATAAACATACGTTGATATTGAACATGACTTTTTTAGGATGCCAGAGCAAATGCACAGAGCTCCAAAAATCCTCTAAAAGCATAGACGGTCACGTTTTAAAAGGCTGACTACTTTTAATAAAGTTTGTATATTAATGTTCATTATACATTTCTCACATTTTTACTTTCTTTCAAAACAGCGATGCTGTGGTTCAATTGCTTTATAACTATGTGAAACTAATAAAATGGGCCCTATGTTATAAAACCTAATTATATTCAGATACACACCTTTTGAACATGTTTGAAATCTATTATTCTAATCAGAATACTTTGTCTACAGAAAACATTGAATCGATATTAGAAATCAAAAGCTAAGTGAGATTAAAGTAGGAAGAGTCACATCGTCTAACCCATTTTAATTGAAGTAAACAGATGATTACTTTATCGTAAAGTGAACACCCGTTTTTCAAACAGCGAATGAAAAGAAAAAAAGAGCCCACCAAAGCTCGAGCGGTAAAGTCGCTGAGCACTAATAGTTCGGTCTGGGGTTCAATTCCCGGCTAACGGCTAGCTGCACGGGCGTTTTCATTGTTATTCCCGTGTGTAACTTGCATATGAGTCAGTTCCCTTTAAAAAATCCTACACGAAGGCCTCCCTCCCCGTAGGCAATAGCCCTAGTGTGCTTTGCTGTAACTGAATAAACCAAAACCGAAAAAAAAGGGGGGGGGAATTAGGGGTGGAAGGCAGCTACGAAACGTCGTTTTAGAAGAATGGGCTACATAACCAAATTTCTATCTATACTCTGGTAAACAGTACATTATTAGCTCATCAAAAGCCTAAATTTAGCTAATGCTCGGCTTAGTTCTTAAATTGCAATTTTAGCCACAGCCCCCAAACAAGACGATGTTTGGTATTTTATTTCATTACTTAGTTATTCATCTTTAATTTAAGAATTAATTAAATTTTCATTTGTCTTTAAATTTTTATTGAATTATAATAATAATCATTTAATATTCTAGTTGCTATCTATTTTCTAGTTGCTGCTATTCTAATTTCTATCTATACTCTGGTAAACAGTACATTATTTGCTCATCAAAAGCCTAAATTTAGCTAATGCTCGGCTTAGTTCTTAAATTGCAATTTTATCCACAGCCCCCAAACAAGACGATGTTTGGTATTTTATTTCATTACTTAGTTATTCATCTTTAATTTAAGAATTAAATTTTCATTTGTCTTTAAATTTTTATTGAATTATAATAATAATCCTTTAATATACTAGTTGCTAATTATTTTATTATTGTAATAGTTATTTTATTTTTATTTATTTATTTATTTATTTATTCATCGTTCCTGATGGCCTTCCATAGAGCTCCAGCACTTCTAATTTTAAAAATTAAGTCCTGACTACAACCAATGATTGCGAAAATAAAAGTCAAGTAACTTATTTAGTGATAATTAAATAAGTATATATATATATATATATGTGTGTGTGTGTGTGTACTTTACATTTAATTATAAGGACATATATATATGTACTTTACATTAATTATAATTTATTTGATATATATACACAATATATTTGGTAGTATTACCGATTGCAATAAAAAGGGAGGTGCACATCTAGATGTTATAACGGACCCATATACAAAATTTCAACGTTCTATAACTAACCGTTTTTGAGTTATGCAAAATGCATACATACGTACTTACACGCAAGGAGGTTAGAATAGAAGGAGGGAGGGTTCGTAGTTTCCTCCACTATCGGGGAATGAAACTCCGCCGAACAAGCGGCGTCCATGTTTGTGACTTCAAAACATTGCATTACGGCAGTGACATGTACGTGTTTCTAAGCTGTTCCGTGCATTTATTTTCCAGTAAAAATATGTTAAATTTATAATGAAATCCCTCGCTATTGTTGAATTTTTGTTTTAAAGTAATAAAGATGATATCCATAATTTACTATGTACAGCAAATTATTAAGAAATAGTTCGAAATCTAAATGCATGCGCATAACATTAAAGCCTTTAAAAAATTATGTTTCTGCATATTTCACGGATTTGCTTAGGTTAGAAAATAAATCTTAATAAAATAAAACAGATTTATGTGAATTCATTGATTTCAGTTTATGCGCATTTCATATTTATTAATCTCAAAGAAACTGCCTTTAATTAAGTTGAATTACAGAAATACACCTATATAAGTTTTTGGATACATCTTTCCACATGTTCAATTGTGTAAATATTTTACTTAATTTTATCACTATACTGCCCAGAAATTTGTAAGTTTATGCAAAAAATTTTTAACAACAGAACAGTTTATCTTAACTTAAAAAAAATGAATAATAATTAATATATAAAGAAAAGCATTGCTTTATTTAACACCTTTACAATTAATAAAAATAGTAACAATTGATTTCTTACTTTTCATGAAAGTTATAAAACGAATTAACTAAAACGTTCAAATTATACAATTTAAATCCTACCATATAGCATTGTATCTTAAGGAACGAAGATACCAGCTATAAACAGAAACATTAAAATGTATTTAATATATTTTGATTATAGTTATATTAAATAACCTATTTTAAGTCCTTTTTTTCACATCTGGAAAGAAAACCACATGACATTGTGATATTTTTTGACATAGTTGTCATATTACATAAAAAAAGAAAATTAATACTTACGTGTGAAAAATAATGCCCGGAATTTTTTTCGAGAATCTATTTGTGCATCCATATGCAATACAAGCTGACATGCTTCAAAAAGAAAAGAAAAAATGTTGCAATGACAGATTTCCTTGCACAAGTCACGGTGCTAACAGGAAGATGGCCGCCAAGCTTCACCGTTTGAGCTGAACCTTCCCTCCTTCTATTCTAACCTCCTTGCTTACACGTCACGAAAAAAATCCCTTTCAAGTATCAACTTAGAGTCATAATCATTAGTCATAAGTATCAGCTTAGAGTAAATGGGATTACATTTAACAATAAGTTTTTTGAAAAAAAAAAAAAAGAGAGAGAGAGAGTCCTTCATTGTGTTCGTACGTACAGGCGTTAGCCCAAAAAATAATTCACATGGATTCCGTAATCGTAAAAAACGGATATTTCCGTTAAAATATGATACCCAAAAGTTTTCTCGAAATCAATAATTACTACCATTTTATTTGATACAAGGAAGTAAAGAACCTATATTAACCTACATATTCTTATATAAACAATACCTAAGTGCAGTATATAAATATTTCAAATCAATAAAATCTAACTATAACACGCTCAAGAAAAAAAAAAAAAAAAAAAAAAAAAAAAAAAAAAAAATGAATCATCTAAATTTTCAAATTACAAACATAAATAGCAATAGTAAAAAGCAACTACAAAATAACGCTTCACGCTATCATAATTGCTCATTTTCTTAAATATCAACAACTAAATAGTATTTCAACTAAAACACATAATGTAAACAAGAGTTTGCCCTATGTCCAAAAAAATTCAAAATTATCTATGAAAAATATGAGCGCATTGTGACGCAACCGTATCATTCGTATTTGAACAGCAACCGCATCATTCGTATTCGCATAGAAACCGCATCATTCGTACTCGAACAAACCGCATCGTACGACAGATGCGAGTAACGAAATGAATTTGTGAGTACCGAATCGGTACTTCCAGTCAACCAATGTACCCGTTACTCAGTAACGAATACATGCGGTTTGCTCCAGCTCTAGTATCATAAGTATGAAGTATTTTGCTGATCTTATACGTAAAGGATATAAAAACGCAGGAAACGTGCTGAATATGAAGATGTAATATTCCTTAAAACTGATTTCTTAAGAATTGAATGGATTTTTAATTTAAGATAAAATCTGAAAGTACAAGAAGAAATTTGGCTGAAATGCGGTTCAACGAGCGAAATAAACTGAAAATTTACATGCGATAACAGTATACAGTTCTGTAATTCTAGCACTCCGACGCGATATTTGTGTAAGTATCAAACATCTAGACAAATATTCTGAATTATGTAAGTCATGTCATTGACACTAATAAATACTATTTTTGGAACGGAACCATAGTAACTGGCATGGAAATTATTTGCATTTCTTGTTAATTAATAATACTAATCATCATCTGCAGATTTACAGTGGATCCCAAAAGTATTCCTACACTTTAAACTTTTGTAGATAAAGCGCTGTAGCCCGGAATTGAATTTGAATATAAAGCCCAGTATTTTTTCATATCTTCTCCATGCCATTTTAAATGAAAACAAACTTTTTCTTTTCTAAAATATTAACTTTTTTTTTTTTTTTTTTCTAAATTGAAAATGTAAGGAGGCATAGATAAAACACGACACAAAAGTGATCGTACACCCAAACATCTTCGTAAATTATCCTCTGCCACTTCATTTTTGCATTTTGTTGACATTTAAAAAATCATTTGGCTTGCATACTTCCTTGTAATTTATTTCGCTAAAGTGCAGAATCGCCCACTTATTTGATTGGCACTTTTTACAAGAGTAAGAAGAATTGGATTTTTGTCAATTTTCTTTGACATTTTAAGTGAAAATAAGTCGATGTGTAAATGGATAAAGTCGAGAGAGTGTGCAATGCCATTTTTGTGCAATTCTGGGATGTTTTTTAAGTGAAAATGGTTCGATGTGTACATGGATACCGAGTATGTGCAATTCTTAAAAACGCACCAAGCAGTGGGCGATTCTGCACTTTCCCCATTTGTTTAATGTCTAAAAATGGGTTGTAGTCATAAGGAAACAATGAATATCATTCAAAAATTGATCATGTTACATCATAAGGTTAGAAAATCGACCTGGGATATCACTAAATTAGTAAATTTATCCCAATTTACGGTGCAGTATGTGATCCCTTAAACCCCTTCGTGATGGATGGCATGCTGCTGAACAAAAAAACCCTCTGCAGATGGGTGTGTCATTTATGCGTCAGTCCCAAATGTTGCTAGCAGCTGGGTGATGCACTGGTCTTCCAGATGGGTGTGGCACTTTCAAACATAAACATTATTTTAGTTTTTTTAAATCATTAGATGGCACTACATGTCCATTACAGTTAGCTTATTTCAACATATACTTTGTTGACCTTGTGTCCTTCTGAAAGCTTTCAGATTTTACATTACGCCCAAAGGGGCGTTTTTTTAATGGTTTGTGTGTTAACTTTATTTATTAAATACAGTACAAAGTCCGTCATCGGGACTTCGGCGATTATGCATTATAGATCATGAATTTAAATCTGGTAAGATGACATGTGGAAATTATACAAGTAAAAATATGAAACCATTAAAAATATAAAATGAAAAATATGATTATAATATGAAACCGTAATAATATGAAAGCAATTAAGGATCTAAAGGGTATCAAAATTTACAAAAAAAAAAAAAAAAAAAGCTTAATATTTATTTGCTTACTTTATTAAACATTTCTTTCAATGTAAGTTGTTTAAAGTTGCTTTTTTTTTTTTTTTTTTTTGTGCTAATACTTTCTCTTTAATTCTATAAACAGACATAATTTTTTGTTCAGTTACAAAGTTCCACTGTTTGTCCTGTAATTGCTGTGTCAAGAATACCGACTATTTTGTCAATCGAAATTTTTTCATTTTCAATAACCTCTCTGTCACTTTTTTCACTATCGGAAGTGGTATTTTCTGGATCTAGAACCAAACTACAGATTTCGCTGTCCGTTAATTGATTAATGATTGGGGCATTGTCGTCGCAAGGAAAAACTTCTGTTATATCATCTTCATTTATTACCGCTTCTCCACATTTCTTTACAAAATCCAATAGCTAGAAAATTTCACCTTTAGTTTGCGATGTCTGACAACCTTCAAATTCGCGGCTATCATCTTCATCGTCCTCACCATGAAATATAGTAGCTGGTCATAAGTTATGCCAAGCATTTTTTAACGTATCTGGAGACACATCCTCCCATGATCTTGCGATGCTCCACACAGCAGATTGTATGCTAAAAAATTTCAAAAAGTCTTGCGATTGTTCAAGAAATTTAACATAGATTTTTAAAAATGCTACTTTATATTTGCATTTCAGTGCATTCACTATTCTTATATCCATAGGCTGAAAGACAGACATATAATTTGGAGGGAAGAATAATACGGGTACATTATCTTTCACTAAAACTTTAAGTGAATTATGCACTGAACAGTTGTCAACAATCAGAACTATTTTTGAGTCGTCAAGTAAACCAACCAAGTTCACATGTCGCCAAGCCTTGGGTATAAAAATGATTTTCAAACCATTCATCAATGCTTGTGTCATCCATGCTCTTTTATTTGTGCGATATATAACGGGGGAAATCGTTACTCCTTTAAATGCTCGAGGTTGTGCATGTTTTCCGATTACGAAAATTTTGCACTTGTGCGTTTCTGCAGCAATTGCACACTCTAAAATTGTTAGTCTTGCTTTGGAATCTTTACCAGTAGGCAGCAGCCTTTTCTGTAGAGGTTGCCAAGGTATTTCACGGTACATATTGCCAGAAAAGACCATTTTCATCAGCATTGTAAATTTGTTCTGGTGACAATTGTTCACTAGTAAGGAGTTAAATGAATTCATCTGCAAATTGTTCAGGAGCTTCAGTAGCTTCAGTAGCAGGTGAAGCTTTTTCACCTGAAAATTTTTATTGTCTTATACCATCACGATTATTAAATTTGGTTAACCAACCTGTCGAATATGTGCACTCAGTGCTTAAGTTCATTTCTTCATGAAATATTTTGGCTTGAGCCATTAGCATTGGACCTGTCAATGGCATGCCCTCGCTGCGACGCTATCTGACCCATTCAATCATCGCTTTTAGCATAACGAACACCTTTTCTGTTATTCATTGCAAGTGGGGTGTTGGAATCCACAAAAAATTCGAAAAGTTCTCTTTTCTTTTTGCGTATGTCATATACAGTTGACTTTCCAATGTCATACTTCTCACATAATTTTCAGATGGATATGCCTTTATCCATTTTTTGCAGCAATGCCACTTTTTTGTTTAATGGACATCGAAACGTGCTTTCACTTTGTAGTTCCTTTGACAGCTCCAGAATTGGAAACTCTTTTTGACATCATCGAAAGTTCAAGCGTAATTTTTATAAAATTGCTCTAACAGTCTGCAAAAAAAATAATAAGCCGATCCAATTAGAAGATTAAGGAACAGCGCAATCTGCAACATTAACTGAAATGTCTTAGAATCGGTAAAGATAATTTTAGTCTACTACCATCTACATCCCAAAATGGCAGCCTATGAGAGAGGCGATTCTATTATTTTCATCGAAGAGTAGAAAAGTTAGAATGGCTTTCTGAGGAACACAACGGCAGTGGACAATGTTTGTTTACATTAGGAAGTTCAGAAAATTGCAAAGGTGGATTGCCTTAGTTTCTATGGTTACTTACAAGGAAATATTAGGCAGTTTTTTCGGTTTGCTGATAGAGGGCAAATAGACAATTTGCCTTTATAAATCCGCATTTATCTATTTAAACTTCAGAAGATTTAAGGTGAAGTGTGAAGTGACTATATTTAACACAACAGAACGCAATCTTAAGACTTGTAAATCTTTTAAAAAACAATACATCAATAATTAAAAATATTATTTATAGTTCATTATGAAAAACTTTTTATGAATGCATAGTTATCATATAATTAACAATTCATTCATACATTATTTCATTATTTATTATAATTAGAAGAGAAGATATTTTTTACAATAATATTTAAATAATAAATTTTTTACAATAATGTGCTGTTATCAGTGGGGTTTTTAAGGCAATTTCCATTTGAAAAAGGAATAATGAATATTTGAATGAAGGGATACTTCATATGAGGTGCCCCATCATAGAGCGAAGATAGCAAATGTGTGGGATATTTTAACCCTTTAATGGTTTGACTCGGATTTTCTCGTTCTTTTATGCAAGCTCCTTAACGGTTTCTCCCGTAATATTGTCATTTTAAATATCTCCTTGAAAACGGATTGACCCGTCTTTTTGTTAGACTTAAAAGAAACGTCAAAAACAGATAGCCCGGATTTTTATCTCACTTTCACCCCCAAGTGCCTAAGGGGACAAGTGTCCCTCCAGCCCTGATGACAGTAGTTAACGAATGACCCTCAGTAGAGCAGGAAGTTTTATGATCAAGAAATCTTCTTGATGTTTTATGATAATGGCGACCTTACACTGGTTCTAAAGTAATAAGAAATTTGTTACCAGTTAGAAAGTTAATGGAAGAAGAAATAAGAATTTCTGTTTTAGATGCTGTTTAAGAAATAAAAAAAAAAAAATAAAAAAAGGAGATTTTTTATAGAATAAGCTTTTATTTATAACTCAAATGATTAATAAATTAAAAAAAGAAAAGTAATTTAGCTATTGTTCTGCTATCGGAAGAGATTCAGGAATGTATGTATGCATGTCATGTGCATGTGTCTGTGTATTTATATGTGTGTAAACACATATATACATTCGTATGTATATATATGCACATACATGAACACATACACCCGTATATACATGCATACATACATACATACATTTTTTAATCCAATCCCGATAAGAGAAGAGTACCGTAATTTATTATATAGACTAATAAGAATAAGAGATTAAATAATATTCTTTACAAAATTCATTTACAAATTTATATCATGAATAATAAAAAAAAAGTCGCGCCCTATATATATTTTTGACATTGGAAATTGACTGTTTGATTTCGTTATTTAAGTGTCTGCACTTTTATAATCCTTGATATAAATTGCATATAAATTGAATATTGTAAAGAAGTTTAATTAATCTCTTGTTCCCATTAAAATATGGCATAAATTATTTTTTGCCTTTGGCTTACTAAGAATTTGATAAGTTTTGAATAAAAGATTATATTATAAAACTTTTTAAATTTTTATCTTTTTAATCTTAATAACTTACTTTCAATTGCAAAATCATTTTTCAAAAATTACTTAAATTTTTTTTCTTCCAATAAA